AGCAGGAGCATCCCAGGAGCTCTGCACAGGTGCAGGGAGTCAGCGTGACCGAGGGCTGGGCCAGCCCGAGCCATAAAACCCTTCTGAATGGTTCAAGGTAGTCATCAGCTGTGCTGATAAAGTCTGTGACTTCCTAACTGGGAATTATGATTGACCCTCACGCTCGGTAACAATAATAATTGCTTAATATCATTGTTTCTTATTCGTATGTTAATGTAATGATGTGACACCCACCGATGAATCGCCACATGCAGTGCTAGATACTATAAGGAAGAGCTGACAAAAGAGAGTGTCTGCTCCAATTTATGATCTTAGCATGCAGTTCTGGGGCAGCCTGGGTTCGTCCAGGTGAAGGACACTGCTCCCCCTTCTCCCATGACCCACCCTTGTGCTGTGGCTGGGGACCCGGACAGCTGAAAGCTCCCAGACCCCTGGAAGAATATCCGTTCTCAGCAATTTGCTGCCTGCAAGGTCTGCTGGCACCAACGCTGCTGGCGGGCAGGACCAGCACCTGGGATGTGCAACCGCAGCAGCTCACGCTGCCGGGAAGCGCGCCTTCACGCGAGTCTGCTTGGATAAAATGGGCTTTGGAGGCGACGCAGCACGTCCAGTTTCTGGCTGTTTGTTCCCACCCCTCCACCCTCCTCCCTTGCTCTTACACATCTTGCCTACACAAATGCTCTGCGAGCTGGATCAGGATACTAATCTCAGATTTAAAAAAGAACAGCAGAGAACTTGCACCTGACGGGGATTATTTTTAACCCGGAGTCATCACTGGTCTGATGTACACTGCAGATGTGCATGGTTGTATCCCCACAGCAGTAGCATTGACAGAGCAGCCAGGACCAGGGGATTGGACAGGAACTGTTTAAGCTAGCCTTGCTGCTGCAAGTCACTTGTGATCCAGCTGTGGCTTAAGACAAGAGACAACTGGAGACAGATACAGGTTACAGCAGGATTGCTTACGGTCAAAAGCAGTGGCTGCAGCACGCCAGCAGCTCACCGTCAGCGTTTTGTAGGCCAGGGATAACTTCACAGAATGATTCGCATGAGAACACTACAAATTTTGTGGATGTTAAGACAAAATGCGCCTACCTTCAGCTTTGTGACCATCTTGTAACCTGAGTGTCTCTTTCATGAAAACCCCTCCCATTTTACTTAAAAAGACCTCTGGCGCTAAATGTAGAAAACCTGCATTCATTTGGGGTGGAAGTTGCACAATTAACATCACAACAACCAGGAAATGCAGCGAGAGCACCAAGGAGCTCCAGGTGAACATGTTCTCACCCTGAGGTCTTGCCCTTCCTGACTCTCTACCTTAATCCTTCACTTCTAGCAGAAGTTTTCCAGACTTTACTGGCAGCGCGGTGCTGCCTGTATTGTGACATGTCCTGTAAAACAGGGGCTGTGTTACGAGGCAAAGCTATTGCTGCTGTTGGACTCTCACCCATCCTGTCGGGGGACACTGCTTTGCTGTCCCTGTGCAGTCTCAGCACTCCATCAGCGATGCTCTGTTGCACCTAAATGCAGCTGAAATCACACTCGTCATTTTTCTTCTTAAGCCCTAGCAGGAGCCCCTCTAGATCCCCCCCTCCCAACACTCCCCATTGTAGCGTTTGGCTGCAACTGTACCACACTGGCTACGTGGGGTCAGTGAGGAAAAGTTTATTCAATACTTATATGACAGGCAAGTGGCTGTACCGAACTCCACAGTCGCAGGAGAAGAGCGATTTTACAGTTTATAACCAGCTGTGCTGTTGCTTACACTGTGACTTGCTGCATCACCTCCCATCTGACCAGGGGACCAACGCACTCATGAGCAGAGAGCAAGGGGACGCTCCGTGTCAAGGCACACTTGAGGACAACTGCTTGCAAGGCCCTGGTGCCACAGGCTGATCATCACAATCCCCCCCTCAGCCGCCCTGCGTGCTGTCACCCGTCGGTGTTGCCTGGGCTCAGAGCAGAGCGGGTCCTGCTGCCAGGCTTCCGCTTCCCATGAGAAATGGTGCCACTCCGGAGAGACCTCAGCACCGGGAGGCAGTGCCGGCAGAGGGCAATGGTCTCCAAAATGAACAGCGGGCAGGAGCAGCGCACCAGATGGACCGCTGCCTTCTGCCGGGGTGTTGGGTTTGAATGTGCGGGTCTCTGGCTTCTGTGGATCCCCAGGGCCTGCAGGTGCTGCCAGCAGTCTCACTTCCCAGCATCATACAGATGCGCTGCCAAAGCAGGTATCAGATAGAAGGTCATGAGTTAGAAACCTACAGCTTCTTGCACCCCATCACTTCAGCTTGTTGCACTGCTCCTTTGAGACCCTGTTCTTCTGAACGAGGAAGACTGCCCGGACAGTTTAAGGTTTGTTCTGAAAGGAGATCCAGAGCCACAGACATTTGCTGGTGAATGGCATGGCAGCTTTGCAATTAAAATGAATGTTGAGAAGCCCATATACCCACGCATCAGACCAGTGGCTCCTAAATGGTAAGTCACAGCATCTTACAAAGCGAGACATTGATCAGCACGGAAGAGACCACGGCTACTAAACTGTCCAGGTTTTTAGCCTGGGTTCCACGCGAGAGGTGTCCTGCCAGGAGGACAGAGTAGCAAGGGCTAGCGCGGAGGCAAAAGGTTGATCAGCTGCTCCATGGCTGCAGCAGACGCTGTGGAACTGAGGAAGCAGCAGCAGCTGCAGCAATGCCGTCCCATAGCTGCTACCACCATCTTGCAGTGTTTTTGCAGTAATGACGCTGCCTCCACGTTGCTTGTCCAAGGAACGGAGCACCTTTCCCCGGCGCAGCCCTTCTGTGCCTTTCCTCTCCCCAGCGTGGCACTTCTCCTCGCAGCTGCCCCCAGTCCAGCACGAGCTCCAGCCGGTAAGACTGGCAGAACGTAGTTGTCCATGGTCTTCACTGTATCGTGGCTGGCTTTGGTGTGCATTACTTGATCAGGTCTGCAGTCCTCCTCCGTGAGGGCTAAAGAGTGGGTTATCTGGGCAAGAGTTAGTTTCTCTCAGGCCCTGTGTATTAGCAGCGATTCCTGTAGCGAATAGAGGCACAGGGTCCACCCTCCAGCTCGTGACTGAAACCGCTTACGTGCGCGACGCCCAAGCCTGGACCTGTAGTCACGCAGCGCACATCCATACATTCTGCTATCAGCTTTTGACTTCTTGGTTGCATTTTAATTCTGGCTCAATCATGTGATGCTTTTGGAGACAATTTTCCCCTCTCAGAGGGAAAGCATCTCATCTAGTCATAAGATCTGAGAGTACAAACACATGGTACTGAATTCTTCCAGTCTTGCCCTTTTTGCCACTGGCTTCCACACAGCAGATGTCACTGGGGATGGACTTAGAAGTGCCAGCTTTACAAAGGCTTGGGAAAATTATATTTATTGCACAAGAAGTATAGAGCTGGAAATGACCTCCTGGGTTACAGATTCCAGTTTCCAGCTACGACTTGCAACCGCATTGTATAATTTTTCTAATAAATTAGCCAAGTTCCCCTTTAAAAGTATTTCCAAAACTTCTCCTTCTTACACATTTTAAAAGACTGTTGCAGAGGCACACTAAGCTGAAAGAGTGATCCCTGACTCCCAGGGATTTTTTCCTGTGCTTGCAAGGAAAACGCCCCCTCTGAACATTCTTTGCCTTCTAGAAATTAACCTTTGAATTCATGTTTTAGATATACAGGTAACCAGCTCTGCAAAAAGTATTCCAAACTTCAACAGCGGTATTTATACTTTACTGTTCCCTAGTAGAAATACATCGCTGGACACAGCCTAAGGCACTTGCCGTATCTACAGGTGCATCATCTTGTGTAGAGCCGCCCTGCGAACAACTGATAGGCCCAGTAGTTTCCCTTGGTGCACCCAACTGATGAATTAGCACACAGCAGAAATTCTGGCTACTGCTCAAGTACCAGCACTTTGATTGACTCCATGTGACTCCAGCCCTCAAAGGAATCCCATCTTCCTGTATGCTTTTCCAAACGTTGCCTGTACTGAAGGAGCCTCTCAACTTAAGTGGCATGAAAAATGTAATCAGAACAATTCTACTTTTACACACAAGTCATTGGAACGTAAAGGATATCGGTAATCCCTAGGCTGATCACAGGGAAACTCCACTGACGAGTTTTCCTGCATTTCAGTTCTGCTGGGAGCACCAGTCCTTTTCTCTTTAGCTACTTTTTTATCTTAAATGTGTACTAAACCCATCTTGCACAGCGGGACGGCCGATTTCCTGTGTGGTACTGCCCGACCGTTTGCTGAAGTCCATGAAAAGTAACCGAATGGCTGCGGTTTTGTTCATTTTGGGGTTTACTCACCCAAGGCAATGGATCTTACAAATAGCACTTACAAATACCTGGCAAGACCTATCTTGAATGGAATTTTTCTAAAATTAGGTCCCAATTTTCTGTGGCCTACACACGGTGTAACCATTTACACAAGTGCAAGCAAACGCAAAGTCAGTATCAAGAACTTCTGCAGAATGGATGCAAATTATGCTCCTTGTGCACGTTTGTCGACACCAGCTGCAGTACGCTACAGTATAAAGCTTTTCTGCAGCTGCCTGTATGCTTTCCCCCCTAAGGAAGGGTCTCTCGCCCTCTCCAGCTTCAGTCACACATTCCTGATCCCTCCCTTGTTTTCCTCCCATTACCATCAAAGGGGATTCTCCCTGTTCTGAGGTGGGTGTGTTCGCAAATGACTAGAAGAATAGAAATATGTTGGTGCTTGCCTTGTGTTCTCCGCCTTTTATGTTCCAAACGCACTCCATTTTAAGACAGGCCAGACGGTCTGATCAAACATTTCTCTCACTAGAGTAGAGGCCTTTGCTGCAAAACCAGGTCTCCCTGCATCTTAAAACGCAATGCCCTGGAATACCTGGCAAATCACAGTCAAGCTGAGAACGCTGTGCAAGTATGCAAACGTCACGAAAGGGGTGAAAATCCCTGTACTTAGACCTCGTATTACAACCTCTTCATCAGAGAAACGGTGACAAAGCATACTGCAAGGGGAACACAGAAGTCTAATTAATACAAAATGTCCATACCACCCTCAGCCCTCTCCCAGGCACAAGTGATCATAAGGATAACCCATCCAAATGAGCAGCATATACAACTTTACAAAGACATATGTATGGTTCTCTGGTCAGCCCTTATAAATAGCGTTTTACATATTAAAATAAATATGTCCACGTTGCTGAAGTAGCAAGAGGTTTCTTCGTTATTTAAAAAAAATATGTTACAAAACAATATCATTTATATTTCTTGCTTAGTTTAAAAAAAGTAATAAAAAAGTCATTTTATAAAATACGAAAGTAAATTGAGTACAAGAGTGTCCATCCCTAGCACGTGTCCTGGGTTTGTACATTAGGACTCATCACAAGATGCTGACCTCCAGGAAGTCATGTAATCATTCCTTCACTTCTAGTTGGACAAAAGAAATCCAGTGCTTGCTTTTTTCACCACTTGTATCAAGTCTATGATGTAAAATTCATGGCAAGGGAAGAAGTCCTAGATCTGGGGAAGGTTCTCATTACTGCTATTTATGGCTTCGCTACTCCCTGTATCGGATTGCCTTGTGTAACACAGGAAGAGGATGTGAATGGCCAAAACTGAGCCCTGGAGTTTGGAGGTAACGAGTTCCAGTCAAATAGTGTAAGCAAGAAATTGCTTTTTTTGTTTGTTTTTCTTGACACATCCTAAGTGTGCAAGAGTGTGGGAGCACGTGGGTGTGTACAGGTTTGAGCATGCATGGGTGTGAGCGTGCATCTGCCTGCATGAGCGTAAGGAAGAAGATTAGAAAGTGTGGGAGAAGGGCTTAGAGTCTCCTCCTGATCTAATCTCTCTGCCCCTCTGAAGACCCCTTCCTAGTTACCACTGCTGAGCATCCCCAGAAGTTTACTGGGCTCCAGGCCCTGTTGCTGTGCCATCTTCTGAACATCAAAACCCATGTGCATGAGGAACTGGATCACGTTCATCTCCTGCCCTGTGAACTGGTCCCTGATAGTGGGGCACGAGGGGTTGCAGTGAGGCCACGGACAGCTGTCAATCAGATGAATTGGGCAGCCTTTCAGAGGGGCCTTCCCATTTTTGTTGCTCTCATGTAGGCTCCGATCCCAACAGTGCAGGGCACGGGGTAACGACGTCCCCTTCACCTGGATGTCTGTCCAGTGACTGAAAAGACAAACCGTACAGGTTGTATCAGAGGGGTCAGGCTGTCAGAACTGGTTCATTCCCCTACCGATTCCCTGTTGACCTTTCATAGAATCTGCAAAAGCACTCACTTGCGTGTAATGATCTCATGAGACAAACAGGCAGGAGCAAAGCTAGCGCTAAAGGAAAAAAGGAAACATGGATTAGGTCTTGGAAGGACAAAGTAACTCCTGCTAAATAGAACCTTCCGGACTAGGTAGAGGGTGGAAATTTTGCCGTCCCTAGCAAGACTTTTAGAAACAGCAATGACTATCGTGACATAAAACCCGACTGGACTGGAAAGTATCCAGAAGAAAAGGGGTTCCATCCTGCCTAACAGTGCACATTCACAAGGCACTCCTGAATACCTGCTCTTGTATGAAGCAAGTAAGGCACACTAACGGTTGCTTCTCTGTTGTCTCATCAACTCTCTGGATGTTTTATGATCGGTACTTTTCAAAACATCCCTGTGAGGTTAATGGCTGTGCAACGGCAAGGAGTCTCAGACCCCACCTTGGAGGTAGGAAAGAAAAAACCAAGTTCCTAGTGATAACAAAGGGTAGCTGATAATTGTGAAGTTGGAAATGACTTTGCACTTATCCAGAAATGAAAAAGACAAGATTCTTGATGTAGATGAACTAATAGTTACCAAATTTACAACAATCGTTTCTGCAGAGACCTGAGAAATGCTGCTAGGACACTGGGTAGGAATGCCTCTTAGAAATAAATGTGCCAGGTTTTCCTCAATGAAAATACTTACGTCACATCCTTCAAGGTGTTTCTCAGCTCCCTACCCAGATTCTGGATGTAGAGCCACTGCCCTTCCTGAACAGGCTGGCCAGTGAGGTGTACATTGTCTACAGTAAGCTGGGCCTCATCAAAGAGCCACTGGACAACAAAGACTGGACCTAGGAAGACAAAAAAATTTGGAAAAGGGATTGCTCTAAGTTAGCTGTGGATACAGAGGAAACCCTAGAATCCATTTTATATCTCTCCTCTGATACTTACATCGAAGAGTGGGGTAAATCTTATATCCAAAAAAGCAATTCCATTCCTCTCCCTCTTTAAACTGCAGCTTACAGCGTTCAGGAACGATACCATTCCAATATCTAGAAGACAAAGCAATAACAGAATGAAAGGCATAGCGCAATCCTAACAACGGCCTTTCCATATCCCAATCTATTTCTGTTCCGACTATAGTTCCGACTTATTGACACCAGAGTTCTTTCTTGGCTATATTGTCCCATCAACACATTTTAAAGCATCTACAAATTGCACGCATTCTTCTGCACGCCTAGATTTTAAATTATTGTCTTTTCCAATAAAATCATTGAAAAACCACTGATGTAGATGATAAATACTCTTTAGGTATCAAAATGAAGGAAGACAGAGAAGGAGGACATCTTCTCCACACTCTAACCTCTTACAGAAGTGTACTTTAGAGCATCTGATTGTACCTTATTCCTCTTCTGATGGCTTCTGTTGGAGCACACGTTATAGTATCAATACAGTCAGTTCTGCGATACTGTTTATTATCCAGGAACCATCCGGAGTCTGCCAAGCCTCGAACCTGAATCCCTTGATAACCCATCTCCTCCAGCTGCTCTGCCACTCGATCCACGTTCAGGAGCACTCCTGTCCCTCCAGCACTGCAACAGCAATGTTAATACTGCAGTCATGAAGCACACAGAGCTGTTAAATGGCTGGCTAGCATACATACTCTCACAGCAGCGACACTCTGTAAACAACTTCATCTATCCACAGGACAATCCACTACTAACTTGGTAGTCACCAAGTTATTTCCTTGCTTTGCAAAACCCTCAGAAGTAAAGCCGGTGCCGAGTAACAGTCTGATACCTCAGAAACCAAATCCTGTTCCTATTCTTCTTCTGGGAGATACATGTGCTTTATATCATTTGCAAGGGGTTTGGCTGCTCAAAAACTGAAAGAATCTGGAGTGAGACAAATTCATCCTTTGCAACTTCTCTATTACACCCCTGTGTAACATACGCCGAGCGTACCATAGCTTTGCGCAACATAGATCGATTCAGAGCACCTGCGTCAGGCAAACCTGATTTTTTAATTCAGATGTCCCGAATCTATTCACAAGAGGAATGCGTCTCATGGTTTGGGCCGACAGGAGCCAGCATTCTTGATGCAGGGAAGAGTGAATACGTTCCCTCCCTCTTGCAAAGCTTTTACCTTGTCATTTTTCCATTTTCTCCTAAGTGTACCTGGACCAAAAGCCGAGGAAATAGTCTTGTATCATCCCCTGTTGCACCACTTAAAGGAGAAAACTGAGAAGAGATACAGGGTTTGCTGTGTTAGTGTTACTGTACTCCTAGAAGAAATTTTTCAGGAGCTGCTGAGACCTCCCTAACAGCTTTCTACTGTGGAAATCCCCTGTCTTCACCACAGGAAACCTTGTAGATACCTACCTGCTCCCTGCTAGCAGCAACACTTTTGCAGTGCTAAGACCTTTTCCCACCAGCTCCTTTATAACCTCCTGAATGATCAGTGCTCCCATGAAGGCATATTCATCTGGAAGAGAGAGCTCAGCGTCAACAAAACTGTCTCCTGTCCAGGCTACGACTTTTGCTTCCTCTTCACAAATGCTCAAGAACCTTATGAAGGGATTATGAACCTAAAACCAGGCCCATTTTCTCCACCTGTATCAAGTACCTCTAACAAGAGATACTCCCCCCTCCGTACAAAACTTGCTTCCCTGAAAGAAATCAGTTCCAACTTACTGCACCCCTTTTTTCCCCAATTCATAAAGCCAATTCAGCCAAGCAGTGTTTCACAAAATGTCACACCTACATAGACCACTCCTTCCTCGGCACCACCAAAAGGCAGCCACGTTCCCTGAAGTGTAACTGCTTCAAAGGAACAATCGTAAGAAGCCGTGATGAAGTGAAAAGGTCCCTTACTGTGACAAAAGTGTATCTGTGGCATTCACGAGTGGTCCGTTTCTCAATTTAAGAGTTAGTGAAGAGAGACATCGGGTGACACCATGTCTGGTTTAAGGCCAGAACTCACAGACCAGCTCAAAGAAAAGCATTAACCTTCTGCTTTTTCAGTGCCACATCACGGAGCACCTTAGGCCAAATTCTTTTGTTCACAGCAGCGTCTATCAACAGTGATTCCATTCTGGTCAAAGAAAACTCTTCATGAACAAACGAGAGGAGAACCAAGCCCCTGGCGTTTCTATAGACATTACTGCACCCAGACACCAATCCTGTGTTGAGTTGGGAACCCCAGAGGAGTACATGAGGTAGAACAATTCATTTGCACGAAATCCAGCTTACTCTGGAAGAGCGCTCCTTTAAGCAGACTCCCAGAGTTCCGTCATCATCAAAATGACAGCCAGTGGCAACGTGCATATTAAGATGAACTGTTCTTCGTTTCCCAAAGCAACCTGCCGACAGCTTTAGCCTGACACATGACGGCTCCTTTCAAAAGCCAGATATCCTCCTGACAGAAGTCTGAAACCAAATTCACTGCGCTTGCCCCTCAGACCAGCAAAGCCAAAGTTGCATGCAACAAACCATGGTTCCTCAGCTACAGCATTTCATTTGCTGTGTGCTGGAACCTGGAGATTCATCTAAAAGGAATTTCGTTCCTCTAATCCTTGCATACTGCATCAGTGTAACATCTCTGCAAGCAGTGGCTCTGAACTATGTCAAAACAGCCTGAGCTAAAGAGATCAGGATGTTTTATCTGGAAGTAGCTTGATATTCTTTCCTGCCCTTCAGCAAGAAAAAGCCTGTTCTTCATTCATGTAATTTCACAGAAGTCTGGCCATATCCTTTAATGTGCGATGTCTGGGGCAGCAACAGCCCATCAGCAACACTCACTTTTCTCAGACTTGGAAGAGGCACCACTCCAAACATCACTTGAGCAATAAGGGATGAATCTGTAAGAGAGAGCTGTGTGAGTACTGACGTTCCTTTGACATGCAAGGAGGGGTGAGGACAGGGTCAAGTAACTGGAAGAAAATTAAACCCCGGGGAGGGGAGAAGGGAAGAGTTTCTTGCCCGGTTAGACAACTTACCTTCTTGCACACCAAGCGACAATTATAACTGTCTTGAATTTTCTCCCGAACACTGGTAGTTTTACTGAGTTAAATCAGTATCAATGTGTCTTTTATCAATCTAATTGAAGCACTGAGCTCAGTGGACAGAACGATGGGCCAAGATTTTGCTCTTAGCTGTCCCACTGCTACGGTGGATGGCCTGCCACAGGGCAACTCTCTGTGCTTCAGTTTTTCACATGAAAAATGAGAAGACCTCGTCAATGCAGTGCAAATGCTGACTGCAACGACTGGAGGTTTTTGCAGGGATGAAGTTATCTTCCCATTTTTGTCTCCGGCTCGCAGAATGCAAATTAACATCCCTCTCTTCTGCTTTTCCCTCCTGTACAATGCATATATAAACCGCTGTCTTTCTCATTTCTCTTCTTTGAGCTAGAAGAGCTGCTCCACACTCCTCTCAAACCGGCAAATGCGTACCATACTACCAGCCCACCACTCACAACAGTATTTGCCACTTCAGCTATTTGAGAAGGCTCTCTAAGCTATCCCCAGTTTTTCTTCCTCAGATCACCCCACAACTCCCAAGGAGACTGGACTTAAGTTTCTCCAGACCTTGCCAGCGCTACGTTAGAGAGCTGAACTAGAACAAATGAGGAAACATACAATTCCCTCTCGCGAGTGTTAGTCTTAATCTGTCTTTGTAGCATTCTTGCTAGCCGAAAAGGCAGGAGATGCTGTTTAAGTATAAACCTATTTCCCTTCGTTGTCCCTCCTTACACCATGTTTGCATTCCACCAGTGGGGATTTTCTTCTGGTTGTGATGACAGGATCCCAGTTCCTGCAGACGGGCACAAAGAAACAAGAAATGTACAGATGACAGTCTGCGATTGCAGAGAAACCGTACGAGCCTCATGCAGGATCTCTGACCACACAGAAAACAAACAGCCATGATGAAAAACATTGGTAAGGGAAGTGGAAGGAACATTTCTAAATTTGCCCTTAGGCAGATGTGACTTTCAGAACTCAATTCATGCTAGAGAGGAAGCCTGTCCAGAAGCCTCTTGTAGTACAAAAAAGAACCTGTGACACATACTTAAAATTAAGCGCTTCCCCGAAAAACAAATCCTAGCAGGTAAATTCCAATATATGCAATTATAAGATCTGTGTGAATGACAGAGGTTTAGGTGTTCAGAAAGCCGGAGCATAAGCAGCGAGAATGAAAAGAGGAGCTCAGCATTCCTGGGCTGGCTCAGGAGCCCGGTGGTCCACAGCGCGGGTATCTGGCGTGCTAATTCCACCTTCTGCGTGACACTGAAAGACGCCACAGGTACGTTACGTGTGCAGCAAACGTATGCTTTCACACAGAGGATCCCCTTCGTTGGCTAAGTGACGTTACGCAACTGTAAAGGGGGAAAAGGCGGAACCACGCAGCTCCAGGTGAAAGCCCGGGGAGTTAATCTGACGTCTCCCTCCGCACACAGGGCCAGTCCTACTACAGGCAAACACGCGCATCCCGGGCAGCGCGCGAGGAAGTGCATCTGTCCCGACAAACAGATTAAGAGGCCCAAGAACAGTTCTTCTGACAGGATTAAGGGAAACACAGAGTCTCTCTACAAAACGAAAAACTAAGCCACAACTCTGAAGATCCCAGCAGGCTTGTGAGTACATGCGTGCAGGTAACCTGAAGAGAGCATGTTGGCCAGAGTTCAAAAAACCAGTACTGCCTACCAGCGATAACCGTACACCCAAACGCATGTGCCCATCTGGGCTTTTAGGAGGTTTTCAGAGAGCGGAGAAGCACGCTTGTTTGGGCGTCCTCTCGCAGGAGCGAGAGCCCGTCCGTGCCCGCGATAGCGCCGGGGCGGGAGCAGTCACACGGCAGCGACCGCGCGCCCG